GCCCAGGCCAGCTTTGGCCTCACAGCACGGCCTGTCAAATGGCTGGATGGCAGGCTAGGATATGAAATGCTTGATTGACTTTCAAGCCGCCTTTGACAGTTCTGAGATTCGTGAGGGAACAGGAAGGAGGAATCCCCTGGGACATTCATCGCTTGTATAAACCCGACTCTCTTCTGAAACCGACAGAGGAGAGAGACAAAAACAAATATCCCAGTTGCTATTACCCAGTCCCCATGGCCTTTTTTTTCTTTTGCTCATCATCTTCACTCATCCATCACCTCAGCACCCATCAGATTTTCCGACTCAGCCTCTCGTGGCGTCGTGCAGTCCTCCTGACTGACTGCTCTGTGTTGTTTCTGGACGGCACGGTACTACTGGTTGGCATGGCAGCTGCTCAGTAATTCTGAGATGTGTCAAAGCAGACAGATTCCTGTCCAGCGCCTTCCCACGGAGGCTCTACTTCCACCCAGTGAGAAATGAATGAAGCCTTGCGAAGCACATCTTCCAAGATCGCTGGAGGCAAAACTGGCATGAATCTTGTTTAACTTTCATTTTAGCAAAGCAGACTTGTAATTAACATCCTGTACAGCTCTGGTGTCTTCATTTGACATGGGATCTACTGCGAAGAACTATTTTATTTGCATATTGATCATGTATGTAAATGGCCTTGCTCCAGATTCTTAGCCTTTTTGCCCTTTATGCCATAGGAGGAATGGGTGGACCTGAGAAGCTTCCGAGGGCTTGATGTGGGACAGATAAGTAATCAGCCCATTGGAACAGATGCTTTGCAATTACCCAACCACAATGCCATTCTATTTGCACCCTGCCACTGGAGGAGAACTAGGCCTCTTGCTTCAAAGGAAGGCAAGCCCCACTCCTAAATAGGATGCATCTCTCCAGATGTGGAATTCTAGGCATTAGGCTGGTTTCTTCCTTACCTCTGCTTTGATTAACTCACCCTAGAACATGAGCTATGATTAATCAAAGCTGAGATTTTTTCAAAGAGAACCCTGTAACCTCCCTGGACACTCAGTAATGGATTTGAAAGTCACCATCCTTCTACAAAATACTTTTAAAAACCAATTACAAAGGGAGATATCTGCACTGGAATGCCTTTGCACATTCAGTACTATCAACTTCTTTCCCATGGGTCAATATCTTGAAGATGTCATTAGTGTGGCATAAGGAAAGGAGGAGTGCGGGAGCTGAGGAAACATTGTTCTCAGCCAGCCATAAAAGTGTTGACATATTATGGGGCCATGCGAGTACCCAAAGCAGTGCTGCTCACATAAAGGGATAAATTGCCCCCAAATTGGATGTAGCTGTGGGTGAGGACAGAGTCACAGAGCTCTGAAACCAGGGGTATGTCTAGACTGCATCCCTGTGTCGGCAGAGGGATGTAGATTAGGAAGGTCGACATTGCAAACGAGGCAGGGATTTAAATATCCCGTGCCTAATTTGCATAAAAATGACCGCTGCATTTTTGCCGACTCAGCACTTTCGCTGCATTTTGCCGACTCAGCACTTTGTCTGCAAAAAGCAGCAGTCTAGTGGGGGATCTGTCAAGAAAGAAAGCATTTTTCAACAGATCCCTTATGCCTCCTGCAAGGATCTGTCAAAAAAGGCTTTCTTTCTTGGTAGATCCCCCTCTAGACTGCCGCTTTTTGCCGACAAAGTGCTGAGTTGGCAAAATGTGGCGGCCATTTTTATGCAAATTAGGCTCAGAATATTTAAATCTCTGCCTCGTTTGCAATGTCGACCTGCCTAATCTGCATACCCCAGGTGTGGCCTCATTGGGGATACTATTCCTGACAGCTTGTAGTCCATCCTCATGTGGAATATTGGTGTAGAGAGCTTCTACATCCATGATGTTGTTTTCAGGAAGTTTACAGATGCACAGTAGTTTTCGAAGAAAGTCAGTGGTGTCTCAAAAATAGCTGAGGGTGCATCTACTCAGCAGGGCTTAACTCAAAATAAGCTATACAAATTAAGCTATGTCAATTGCGTAGCTTATTTCAAAATTGGGAATGTCTACATAGCCCTTATTTCGAAATAGAGCACTCTTCCTCTGACTTCCCTTACTCCTCATACAATGAGGGTTACAGGAGTTGGAGTAAGAAGTCCTCCAGCTTGACCGTATTTTGACATTATTTCGAAATAACTGCCTGTTGTGTAGATGCGGACTAAATTATTTCGAAATAACACTAGTTATTTCAAAATAACGTGGCTGTGTAGATGTATCCTAAGAGTGCTGGTAGCATAGAGTCTGAGGAGAGAGTCCACATAGCTGGATAACCCTGCTGCTAGGGTCCCAATGCCCGCGATGAGGGGGCATCCGGGATTTCCAGGTTTATGGATCGCAGGTAGCAGATAGAATACTCCTGGTCAGGACTCTAGGGGTGTGTCTGTGTAGATTTGGTCCCATTCTACTGCAGGAAGTTTCTTGAGCAGACACTCTCATTTCTTGTGGTATTCCTCAGTGGGATCACAGGAGTGTGGCCTGTAGAATGTGGTGTTTGAGTGTTGCCTGGCAGCCTAAAGAGGTATCCAGAAATCACCAGCTTCAGGACAGGCCCAAAAGGGTAAATAATAGAAACCACTGGTTATCACCCACAGCCCCCCAGCTAAAATCTCTTGGGAAACCGGCCAGTCCTCACCTACAGACAGCTCCCCAACCTTACTTACCAGCAGCGACATAAAAAATCACAGATAAACTTAAACATGAACCTTTCCCTACAACAAACTCCATTGCTAACTCTGTCCACATATCTGTACAAGCGACACCATCGCAAGACGCAACCACATAAGCCACTCCATAGGGGCTCATCCACCGGCACATCCATGACAAGATATATGCCATCAAGTGCCAGCAGTGTCCCTCTGTTATGTATATTGGCCATACTGGACAGTCTCTACACCAAAGGATAAATGGACACAAATCAGAACTCAAGACTGGTAACACACCAAAAACCTGTAGGGGAACACTTAACCTCCCTGGACATTCAGTGGATTTGAACGTAGCCATCCTTCTACAACAGAATTTTTTTTAAATGGTTACAAAGGAAGACAGCTGAACTGGAATTCATTTGCAAATTCAAGACTATCAAACTAGACAGTGCTTGTATTCATTTGCAAATTCAACACTATCAAACTACACAGTGCTTGGTCCTGCTGTTAGGGCAAGGGACTGGACTCGATGACCTCTCGAGGTCCGTTCCAGTTCTAGTGGTCTATGATTCTGTAATTCTATGAATTTAGGACTGAATAAGGATCTGAACTGGTTAACGCATTACAAAGGCAATTTCCCCTCTCTGAATAGTCACATCTCCAAGCCAAACACTGTGAATAACCTACTTCCACCCTGACTTGATTAGCTTCATTAACACAAGTAACTTTTTCCTTATATACACTCCTGCTTCTGTAACTTCTACTCCACTTCATTTGATGAGGTGGGATACAAAGTAATTTGGCACGTGCACTTTTGCCTCTGGGTTTCCATAGGCCTTCTTTTGTTGGGAAGGATATGACACCTCTTGGGTAAAGTAGCATTTCACACTCAATAATGCTTGTCAGCTGATTGTGGGGGTTTCCAGTTTCACAGCAAACACTTCTATGCTTATAGAGCAAAACACTTAGGCTACGTCTACACTGGCCCCTTTTCCGAAAGGGGCATGCTAATTTTCAACTTCGTAATAGGGAAATCCGCGGGGGATTTAAATATCCCCCGCGGGATTTAAATAAAGATGTCCGCCGCTTTTTTACGGCTTGTAGAAAAGCCGGAAAAAAGCGTCTAGACTGGCCCGATCCTCCGGAATAAAGCCCTTTTCCGGAGGATCTCTTATTCCTACTTCAAAGCAATGAAAATGGTTAAAGGCCTAGAAAGGATGACCTACAAGGAGACAAATATTATCGTATTGTCCACAATAATCTTAACCTTCAGATTAAACAAACACACTTTTTTTCATTAAATATACAGAAAGTTGTTATAAAGAGAAAGATGATAAATTGTTCTCTTTATTGACTGCGGACAGAGCAGGAAGTGACTTGCAATGAAGCCAGGAAGACTTTGGTTAGATGTTGGGAAAAATTTCTTAACTATACGGGTAATTAAGTGCTGAAACAAATTACCTAGAAAGAATCTCCGCCATTGGAGATTGACTAATCTGTTTTTAACAAACACTTGTTAAGGATGATGTAGGCAATATTTATCCCCACCTCAGTGCAGGGCACTAGTCTAGATGACCAACTGAGGTCCCGTGATTCTATAATTCTATTACGTCAAGCTTCACAATTATGTGTTTACTACAACATGCTCTTCCTCCTGTTTTTCCATTTGATATATTTTACATAACTACTGCGTTTCAAAATTATATTAAAATTAATTTATTACAGCTAAGATTTTAAAAAGTGAATGGTAGAGGTAATTGAAAGTTTTTATTGATATTTTTCTCTTCGATGAAAAATAGGGTTTTGCAAACAAACAAAAAAATCCATATTTGTCAAAATGTGTCCATTTTTGTCTGAAAGCCAACCAAACCAAAATATGAAAACCAAAATTATTTGTATTCTGACCACCAAAAAACATTTTTTCCCTTTTCTAGGGTTGCGGGTTTTCAACAAAAAACAAAAAATTCCATGGAATTTTGACAAAACCTGAAAATCTTTTTTTTTTTTTTTGGTTTGTTTTCCTCAGAAAATCAAATATATTTCCTCACTCATTCTAGGACATGTGCTTTTGGGTGCCTCCATTTCTGAGAATTGCAAGTATCCCACTTTTAATTGTCTGTATTCCGCATTTTAAGATTACAAGAGGGATTGAGGAAAGGAAATATTGTAGCAAACTATTGTAGCAGTTTGAATATCTGAAATAAAACATAGTATACTTGCATTATACAATTATTTTTTCCCATACAATTCACAGGCTAGGCATTTTGTTGGGTAAATCAAGGCCAAAAAACAACTCCTTACCTGAAATGTATGTTTTTATTTTTTACTATCAGATGAAAATTATTGCATCAAATTTGATTGCAACTCAGATGATATGCCAGTAAGAAGTGGCTAGAAGAGGAAATCCCTGTTTATGTGACTCACTGTTTTTGTGCAAATATTAACTTTGGCTGGTGAGCATTTTTTCTTGTATCACTTTTCCAGATTGGAGAGGAATTATACAATGTCTCAGAGCAAGTTTGTCTGGCTGTATCGGACTGCGGCCTTTGGTTATTTAGATAGCTTTTGTTTTTAACAATGTTTTGTCTATTTATTGTTTCTGAAACTGTAAGAAAAATTTATTTCCCTATCATTCTAAACCCAGTAATGTTGTATCAAATTCTGCACCATTGAAAAATGCTAATTTGATGATGGCAAGAAGCTTAATGGGGAGTGACCAGGGCTTGCTCTGCTATGCTAAAACCAAAACAAACTCCTAGAATCTGGCAACTCAGTAATAGCTGGTTCCCAGTGTCTAAGTAAGCTTGGAACCCATCTAGTCTGAGAAGTTTACTTTGTCTCATGGGCTCGTTTGGTAGAAGAAATGTTGATAGCTAAATGAAATGGCCAAGAGTTCTCCTACCCTCTTTAAAACTACCACTAAAGTCTGGTACCATGGAGTCAAGCACTATGAGGAACCTCAAGGGAGTTAGTTGGCCTAGTTCATTAAAAAATGGACTGGGATTTGGAAGACATAGGGGTTCTGCCACTGCTCTGCTGTGTGACCATGAGCAACTCCCTTCACCTTAGCTTCCTTAGCTAGGTATCCCCAATGAGCTGACATGTGCCTGTCATGCTGACCAATAGTGTATCCTTATGTTCCGTACCGACAGAGAGAGAGAGAGAGAGAGAGAGAGAGATGGGGAGTATAGGGATAGATAGATAGATGGGGTGTATGGGGATAGATAGATGGATAGATAGATAGACAGGCCCATCTATGACTGGCTACCAGGTGCTATACTACTACTACTAATACTACAGGTTGAAAGTGGGGAAATCAAGGCCTATGTATATAGGGACGACTCATTCACCACTGAAATGCAGCACCTTCTCACATTCAACACAATGCAATAGCTCAAGATGGAAAAGCAGAAATAACTTTTCCAGTTGAAACTCCAGGCAGTATTTTAGGGAGGCAGAATACCAATAGCCAGGCTTAGATTTGGCCACTAGACTGGCGCTAACACCCATGCTCTTGCAAAATGTTCCATGGGCTCTCGAGTGACCACAAGTGGTCAGAAGCGCGGTTTTGGCATCGCAGAGGAACATATTTTCTCCATGAAGTCAACAGGCTTTTCCCCTGTGGTCCTTCCTTCTGCACTCAGCAATAGCCACAATGCAGACGGACAGCTGTGATTTTGGTAGGCTTTGCACAGTGAACACTTTTTTTCTCCCTTCTCTTTCGTTCTTTTACAAAATGGCTACAATAAACGGTCAATAAGCCAAAAGCTTGGTTCAAGCTGAGATGGAGAAGCCCGGTAAAAAAATCTGCCTGACTCTCAAATGGAATTGAGCAATCCAGACCTTCTATTGCTTAAACTGACGGCTGCAACTTGTTTTGCTCTAAAGTTTAGGGTCACTGGATTTTTGTTTTTAATTGAGGTTCTTTATTTCCTGTTGTTATTTGATCCGTAGATTACTGTGGCTTTCATGACTAGAAAGTTCCTGTTCTTTTGCACTTATCTTATCTGGACTTTCTAATTTCCTCCATTAGGTGATGTCTGACACCTTATTTGCTCAAATCCGACAGTCTGGATACACAAGGAGATTAAAATGAGTCACCACCTCCCTACCTCCCCCCACTTCTTCCAAACCTCCCTCCCTTCCTCCACGCTGGGGCGTGATTCTGTTTACGGTGTGAAATATAAGAAAAGAAATAAAGGGAACCTAGGGCAGTATGTTGAATTAAAAAGTTCCCTGATGAGAAAACTACGCACAAGAAAAAAATCACTCCCAAAGGAAAGTCTAAATAAAAGCCCTGCTAACTTATATTTATTTAAATTCACTGTGTAGAAGCCAGTGGTGACCGGCGGGTTTAATGGGATTCTGCAGAGATCAGACATACCTTGTTTGCTAAATTAAACTCCACTGCATATATGAGTAATTTTTTTCCCCAGACCATCCTGAGAAATACTTCTCCCTCATCCATGGATCAGATTCTTGGTGGGTCCAAATTAGCAAGTTTCAAGTGGTGTCAATAAAGCTATCATTGTCTTGAGTTTGCTTTCTGCCATTTTACACCAGCTGGAGATTTGGGCCCAAATGTTTAAAACAGAGGGGTAGTGAGAGTGTTATGTGCTCAGAGGCAAAAGCAAAATTTGCACACACACTCACCCCACCCCGCCTCCGTGTAGTGGGGCCCCGAACCTAGCACACAGTTGAGCCCGAACCAGGAAAGAGGGGGAGGAGCATGTACCGCATCTTCCCCCGCCCCCTCCAGTTTGGGGCCAGGCTCCTGCACCCACTAACCCGCCTCCAGTTTGGGGCCAGGCCCCTGCACCCACTAACCCACTGGCGGCCAGAAAGGGAGCTGGGTGGTGGTGCTGTGGAGATCAAGTAGGGTCAGGCTGGGGGAGGTGAGGTGGGGAGGAGGCACCGGCCGGCAGTGGTGGTAGCTGAAGGAGGAGCAGGTGAGTCGAGGGAGCGGAGGGGGACTAAATTGGTGCCCTGCCTAGCATGGCACCTAAGAGTCCCCTCCCGCCCCCCCGCCCTCATCTCTAGGCCACTGGTTCTAATGATGAAGTAGGTTTTACCCATGAAAGCGCATGATTTTATATATTGTGGTTAGTCTGTATGGGTGTGTTTACACTGCACCATTACTTTGAAATAACTAGCGTTATTTCGAAATAACAATACGAGCATCTACACAGCCATTCCGTAATTTCGAAATAACGGACGGCTTATTCTGAAATCCGTAAACCTCATTTTATGAGGGATAATACCTATTCCAAAACAGCATGTGTGTAGATGTAACCACCACCGGGTGGATTTGAATATGGGAACTCTGGAGCTGAGTACAGGAGTCTCTACCCTCTGAGCTAAAAGCCAGCTGGCTCCCAGCCCCTGCTGTAGAGGTCTCTTGGTCTTAACTGTTGCTGTGGTCTAGGTGCCACTTGCATTGCTCAGTAACCACATTAGGGCTGCGTCTAGATTGCATCCCTTTTTCGTAAAAGGGATGCAAATTAGACGTATCACAATTGCTAATGAAGAGGGGATTTAAATCTCCCCCACTTCATTAGCATAAAAATGGCTGCCTCATTTTTTCGGCACACAGCTTTGCAGGAAAATAAACGCCAGTCTAGACGTGGATCTTTCGGAAAATAAAGCCTTTTCCAAAAGATCCTTTATCCCTCTTAAAATAAGGGAGAAGGGATCTTATCTTTCGGAAAAGGCTTTATTTTCCCTTAAAATAAGGGATAAGGGATCTTTCAAGGACACCTTTTCTACCCACCCTGGCTAATAGCCATTGATGGACCTAACCTCTATGAATGTATCTAGCTCTTTTTTAAACCCTGTTAAAATCCTGGCCTTCACAATATCCTTGGGCAAGGAGTTCCACAGGTTGACTATACGTTGCACAAAGTAATACTTCCTTTGGTTTGTTTTAAACCTGCTACCTATTAACTTATTTTATGGCACTGGCCTCCAGCAGCGGGTGTAGGCTCTGGGGTGGACCTGGGGAGGAGGGGTGAGGATTACAAGAGGGGGCTCCAGGGTGGGGACCAGGGGTTTGGAGCACAGGAGGGGGCCCAGGGCAGAAGATGGGGTGGGAGTGAGGAGTCTGGGTGGGAGTCAAGGTGTGAGAGGAGGCTCTGGGCTGGGGCAGGGAGTTGGGATGTGGGGCACTTACTGGGGGCAGCTGCCCTTTGGTGGCACAGGCCCCAGGGAGGGGAGAGAGCAGGTGGCTCTGTGCAATGTCCTGTGGCCTGCACTCACCTGCAGGCACCACCCTCTCCAGCTTCCATGGGCTGCAATTTCTGGCCAATGGGAGCAGTGGGGGCGGAGCCCACAGGCCAGGAAAGGGCGCAGACACCACTTTCCCCTTCCCTCCCATCTCTGCAACACAGGGGGGGCTTGTGGCTGTATCCCAGGGCCCTGGGCTAAGGATCTGAACTTTTGACACACGAGAGATCTCTTTCTCCTGGTCTTCAGTCCCTAAACCCCTTTCTTAATCCAGTCTTGGCAACAGCTGATGACAAAAGGCCAGTGCCCAGACAGAGATAACTTTGTCAAAGCTCTGGGGAAGAACTAGAGCTGAAGGAGGAGAGTGCCCAGACAGAGATAACTTTGTCAAGGCTCTGGGGAAGAACTAGATCTGAAGGAGGAGATGGAGGAAGCGTGGCTGATGAGAACTTTTGACTGCACCACTGACGAAACACCAATGACCACGGGGGAGGTCCAAAATCAGCCTGGGGGGAATGGATACAAATACAGTGAAAGCTTTGTTATCCGGCATTTCTGGCAGGCAATGCTAGTTACCAAAGTTTTCTGGTTAATAGAGTACTGGTAACAAAGTTTCACTGGACTTTTCTTGCCCGCTGCCGGGTGGGTCCTTCTGGGTGGTACGTGCCAAGTTGGCGAAAGCACTTAGCGTGTGCATAACAACTACCAGGTTCCTAACTGAAAGGTGCCAAGTGGACAATTAAAATGTAATTGTTTTATTGCAGGAAGACGATTAACAGGAGTGAGCTGATGGATGGTTTGCTGTCTTCTGGGCTTTACTGGCAAACCCCAGAGACTGCAGATTTTAAAGCGCCACTTCCCACTTAACGTTTAGACTAGAAATAAAAGTTGCTCTTGCTGCATTAAAAATGCACCCAGCCTGGGTTTATGTTCCCCTTGCAGTTCCCTTTTTTGTTTCTTCAGCAAAGAGGGGTTTCAATTTTGAAATAGCGCTTTTTCGAAAGAGAGCTATTACGTGATTATGCAAATGAAGCATAGGACATTTAAATACCCGCTTCATTTGCACTTTTGAAGTGCTTCATTTACATCTCTCTGCTGACAGAGAGATGTAGCTAGACACAACCAGGATACTCTCTTTCGAGAAAGCACAGTTTGCATTACATAGCGCCTTTTTTCGAAAGAGCACTTTCGAAAAAAGGTGTTCAACCTCATAAAATGAGGTTTTCTGTGATCGAAAAAACTGCCAAGTTCTTTTCAAATTTTGAAAGAATGTAGCAGCAGTCTAGATGCAGGTGAAGTTTTTTCGAAAAAACTCTGTAATCGAGACACACCCTTTGGCTATGTCTAGACTACATCCCTCTGTTGGCAGAGGGATGTAAATGAAGCACTTTGAAAGTGCAAATGAAGCTGGGATTTAAATATCCCGTGCTTCATTTGCATAATCATGTAATGGCGCTCTTTTGAAAAAGTGCTATTTCTAAATTGAAACCACAGTCTAGACGCAGTTCTTTCAAAAATAGATGCCGTTTTTGATAGATCCTGTAAACCTCTTTTTTTGAGAAGTACAGGATCTTTCGAAAAAGGGTTTTATTTTCAATCGATCCCCATCTAAAAGGCTGTTTTTCTTTAGAAAAGCCCAGTTTCGAAAAAAACACGGCCGCCATTATGCAAATGAAACACAGGGAAATTTAAATCCCAGCTTCATTTGCAATTTTGAAGTGTCTAATTTACATCCCTTTTTCGAGAAAAGGGATGTAGTTTAGACAAAGCCCAAAAAATGAGGTTTACAGGATCTTTCGAAAAAGAGCCCCGTTTTCGAAAGACCCGTGTCTAGACTGAGGTTTCAATTTCGAAACAGCATAGACCCGTGTCTAGACTGAGGTTTCAATTTCGAAATAGCATTTTTTCAAAAGAGTGCCAGTACATGATTATGCAAATGAAGCGTTGGATATTTAAATCCCGGCTTCATTTGCACTTTCGAAGTGCTTCATTTATATCCCTCTGCCGACAGGGAGGTAGTCTAGACGTAGCCAAAGTGTTCATAATTTGGGGCTTTTAAAATATTTTCACTCTGATAGCAAGAGCAATAAAAAAACTTTCCGCAGAGAGAGATAGGGGAGCTTCAGCCCCCATAAATCTCACATGTACAAGGTCTGGATACATTGGGTAGATGTCTTGACTTTGAAATGACCTTTTGGCTCTTTCTCTTCATCTTGGTTTTTAATTGGATCCCAGCATTAGCCAGGTGGATCCAAGCTGTGTGCTGGCAGTTTGCTTGCTGACCCATTACTGGTTTGTATATTAAAATAAAGGGAGTGTGAGATGTGAGACTGAGTGCGAGGGAGAGAGAGAGAGACTGACAGACAGACAGACAGAGATGTGAAAATGTTCATTTAGTGGACTCTCAAGGCAGCTACATACAGGGTGGAAGGGAAGAAAGTTATTTGTGTGTGTGCCTATGTATATAGCTCTCTTTATAAACAATATACATATATGTGCATGTGGATGTATGTTATATATAGCAACAAACTAGTGAGAAGGAGAGAAGTGCTCAAAGAGAGGAAGCATTGTCCAATGGTTAGGGCTTGTCTTCACTACATGACAACTCAGCGCTGCAGCAATTGATCCATGAGCGGTCGATTTATCATGTCTGCTTAGACTCAATAACTCAACCTCCGAGTGCTCTCCCATCGACTCTGGTGCTTCACCTGGATGAGAAGAGTAGCTGGAGTTGACTGGAGAGGAACCCCCACTGACCTTACTGCAGGGAAGACACCATGGTAAGTAAATCAATTACAGCTATGCTATGTGCATAGCTAATGTTGCGTAGGTTAGATAACAGGCAGGGAGAGAGGGAGATTAGTGTACACTAGGACTCCAAGTGCTAGCCCGAGGGAGTGGGGAAACCTGAGTTTAACTCCCTGCTCTGCCACAGACTTCCTATGTAACCTTGGGTGAATCACTTAGTCTTTTTGTGTTTTGGTTCCCCACAAAACACAGCACTTCTCTACCTCACAGGGGTGTTACGAGAACAAATAAATTAAATGCTCTGCTGTTACATCAATGTGGATTTCAGAGGTGCTATCAATAGAGAGGCTAGGCACCTGTTAAAAAGACAGTAAAAACATATTTACTAATTA